ACATTGGGTAAAACTCACCCTTAAAATTAGCTCGTAAGACGAGGGCTCGATTGGTTATAAACCGGTAAACTTAGCTTTAGCTTATTAAATTTCTACCCCTCTCTTCAGAAAAGAGGTCCATGGCAGTCCATATTCGTAGCTAGGTGACTTAACAGCTCTATTCTTCTAGTGTAAGCCCGTCCACATCGAGTGCCTCATAATGGTGCTTGTAAGGAGAGCATGCCAATTGTTTATAAACCCACAAGGGTTATTCCACTTGTACTGAGGGGGGGTTTACCAAATGCTCCCCCCCTCACAATGCACGCCCCCCAAGTGTAGTCAAAAATGTCGGTTCGTGGCCCCCACCTCGGTAATGTGAGTGGAGTGTAAAAGATTATGTATAAAATTATGTACATGTAGACTAACCCAAACCCACAAACCCACGGACTAAGCTTTAACCAGGGATGCAATTAGGTTACTCGGTCTAAAAGTTATGACGTTAGAGACTTAAAAGAGTGGTGGCTTGTTTATTATTTAAGTTTAGTCTTCACCTATAACATGCATAACAACAAGCAAAAAAATAATTTTAAAATCCGGTTAGTAATTTCACCTGAGTCTTGTTTTGTAAACCCATCTCCTTTGTAGCATTCATGGTGGGTTCCGATATAGGGAACGGCTCAAACGACACAGTGCCATCGCTCTCCAACCCTCTCTTATCTTCTCCCTCATCTTTACTCACGTTCTCTGGCTCATTCTCAATATTTGAATCATCCAAGGAAGCTAAAAGGCCAAGTATATCTTTTTTATCTTCTTTTTTTTCTTGGTTTTCATCATGACCTAGTTGAGCCATCTCCTGATCATTCTCTTTTTCTTCGGTGCGTTGTTGGGTGTCTTCGTTCTTCTTTACGGACTCCATATCTTCTTCTTTACTGTGTTAAAGATTTGGGTTTCCTCTGCGCCTCTCAGAACAAAGTTGACAAAAGTGGCGGCGGTTGTGTTGGAATTATTTGCAATTGTTGGCACAAGGTATTTTATAGGTTTTGAACCACCGCAAAGTTTGTTCCAAGACGGTGGGAATCCTGATTAAAGACTTTTTGTTTATTTATGCAGAAGAGGACACTAATACTTAAATTAAAGAAATTGGATCCACAATTAAATGGAAATTATTCGAATAACAGAATAAGCCCCCGTTTATTTATCGTTATTTCAAAATACATTTTTTTTTTGTCAAACTCATTTTCAACCACACATTCTCACAATAAAATATTTTTTTCGTAAACTTAAAACTTTTTCCTACTTTTTAATCATATACTTTTCAAAAAATCACAATTCTAAAACTCACTTTTCTACTTTAATGGTAGACAAAAATGGCAAAATATGTAAAGACTCCAGATTTATAAATTTTTTAATTTATAAATAAATAAAGTGATGTGTAGTTTAAATTAAAGTTTGATAATTTAAAAATAATTTATAATTTTGTCCAATGGAGAGTAAAGTTTGGTTTGTTAATAAAGAGAATGAATCAATGAAGTAAAAGAACTTCTTAGCTCCGATTTTGTGGATGGTAAAATTAGATTTTTAGCAGATTTTGATAAAAATTGATAAAATACGTGGTTAAAAAATTGTGGATTCCATAAAATATGTGATTAAAATTAATTATTAACTTTAATTTAAAATTAAAATCTAAATTTTAATTTATATCAAACACGTGGGTAAAAATTGAACGTTTGGTAACATAATTTTTCAAAGAATATTCATTGTACTTTCAAAATTATTTTCTCAAACATCTTTGAAGTTCAAAATTATTATAAATGTTAACGCTAACTCTTCAAAGTTATTTTCCCACTTATTATTTTTAATTTTGCATTTTCATCTATAACTATAGATTGTTTGAATAATTAATGATTTATAGTCAAAATTGTTAATTTTCAAATGCACACATAACTATTAAGGGAAAGTTTTAAAATTAAGTGTATTGAAAGATAATGTTGAATGTACAATAGTCATTGAGATTTTTACCTCTTTAAACTTTGACAAAGTTATGTAATAAGAGGTATTATATAATTTTTTGGGTGCGTTTCATTGTCAATATTTTTTATGAAAAATGTGTTTTTTCCACTTAATTTCCTACTTTTCTAATGTTTGATTAACAATTTTTTCTAATGAAAATATTTTCATAGTTTTGATCACGTGACTATATTTTCCTTGAAAACAAGAAAAATATTTTTTTTAGAGAGATGTAATTTTTATTTTTCATGTAATTTATCTCTCTCATCTACCTATCAATAAAAAAATGTTCAAGTATAAGTTGAAAGTTAAATCAATCAAACATATTTTATTAATAATTTTCATGCAAATAAGTTTTAGGCAATTGAATTGTCTAATTTTTTTTTTCTTTCTTGTAAATTTCATGATCGCAATCAAATGCATCCTTAAAAGTTATCCCGAGCCACGAAAACTACTAGTAACGTGTCTGTAACGAATAATTACTTACCATTCAATTGCAGAATAAAATCCGCAACAGAAAGAATCTCTTTTTTTTAATACAGATTCTGCTTTCAAGTATTTGAGTAAATGTGTCTATTAATTTCTATGTTCACGTATGTAACACTATTATATGTGCTAAATAGTTATGCGTTACGTACCAGGTAACTCTTATTTTGTCCAAATATTGTATGTAATTAAGCGAATGAAATATTTCATTTTATGAACTGACTATATTTTGTGTATTCTTTTGGTTGAGCATTATTCTCCATTGTTATATATATTGTCATATCGGTGTTTTAATATTTAATTGCAAATGTTAGCGAATCTCTTTTCTTGAATTTATTGAATCATCTCAAGAGTATAATGTTCACGCAACTAAACAAATCCCTCCTCAAATCATATGTTAATTAATTAATTTATTTTTTGCTTATAAGCTAATAATTTTGGCTATTTGTGTTTGGTCGATAATTTTAAGTTTATTTCCTTTTTGTAATATAAGAATATTTGGACACGTGTTGAAACTTATTTTGAAATTTCTCGTAAACTTTCATTTGTCAAACTAATACTTAAAACAAAACATAAAAAGTACCATATCCTGAAAGAATTACTTGACTTTTTTAACGTAGATTACCGAGTTAGGATTTTTGAGATTTTGAATTAAAATCCTTCGTTTATGAGTCAAGATTAGAAGAACAATGTTAATAGCTGGTTGAATAATGGAATACTAAAAACATTGAAAGTTATTGTCATAACGTTAGAAATATGCTAACCAACCAGTTCAAAAGATTCTTGAAGTCTAACCTCAAAAACAAAAGATGTCGAGATGTGGCTGAGTATTATAAAAAAAAAAAAAATGTGAAAGATGACATTTGGAAATGTGCTAATCAACCAGTTCAAAAAGATTTCCAAAAACTAACCTTAAAAACAAAAAGCCCACAATTTTTTTACTTAACAAAATTAAATTATCAAACAATTTGTAAAGTTAGGACTACGAAATATTCAAGAAATCGAAGAGAGAATTAAAATCAAAACACATAAGAAAACTAATTTGTTTCCAAAGATTCGGCCATCCTTGTTGAGCTCCATACGCTAAATGCACCAAATCCACTCCGTCAATATAATCTCCTCCTTCAATATTCAAGATTACGTAATATTTATATATATATATATATATATATATATATCACATAATTGAAACGAAGCTTTCATATATATGCCTGAATACTCCAGATATAACACAAGAAATTGAGTCTCAAATCGATGATAAATCAACACCTATCCAACTCACACCTAATATAACATAATCTTTTTGTGAACCATGCTCTTAAAAATTATTTTTAAGTAAACACCATATGTTGTGTTGCATAACTCCACAAGAATGAAGTTTTGAAAACTTGAGACTCAAAAGAAGAAGAGTAAAAATCTAAATGAAAAGTATAAAAAGCTAAAAACCAAGGAGTAGAAGGGGGAAGTGCTCAACTTGAAATTTACGTGTCAAGATAGAAGACACGAAGGTTAGAAAAATAAAATTGAAGATACAATAAGATGACATGGCCAGAAAAAAAAGTGAGAAATAAGGACAAAAACAAGAAAGAGGAAGAGGAAATAATGATAGAAACAAAAAACTAAGGTGTCGTTCTCTTTGTGTTTCAGTTTTCTATTTTGAGTTTTGAATTCGTTTTGTATTTTGTGTTTTGAGTGTCTATTTTGAAATTGTTGAAAATGAGTTCTGTTTGTTGTTTTGGAAAA